GGGGGGGGGGGGTCTACTAGAGTCCATCTGTATGACTCTAAATCAGTCCAATTCAGTGTTAATTAGTCATTTTGAAATCACCTCATGCTCCTAAAGCAGACAAGGTAAAGGGGCATTGCAAGAGGATTTAAGGCCAACCTATCGTCAGAGACTTCCTGAATATCCTCTCGGGGACAGACGTGGGAAAAAAACCCAACACTTTTCTAATACCTCAAAACTATCACCCAGTACAGCACACTTTGAGGAAGAAAAAAACAAACAAAAAAAAAAAAACTTAGGGTACATTTTCTACAATACAATCTAGCACACACACAACTTCTCCATAAATTTTCCAAAGTTACAGAATTTTGTCTTCTTCGGAAGCATAGTCTATAAAGAACATCTTTGTTTGAACACAAAAGATTAAGTGAACACGCATCAATGCGCACAGAGGTCCTTCGTCTGGGAAAGGATAAAGTCTGTGTTGGCAACCAGTGGACAGAAAACAAATCAAAACGACGAAAAAGAAACAAAAACATTTAGCTGATTCTAAATAGAGATCATTTAATATAAATGCTGAGCGAGTAAAATAAGAGGTGGCACATTAATAGTGCTTTAGTATATTAATGTATGTATACATACTCATATGTATAAGTGAGCTGTGTACCTAAACAATAAATGTAGCAAGGAGCAGAGGCTTGAAGTGTGGTAGGGAAAAAATATTTTTTTTTAAAAACCCGAACATCTACTATCATGGCGCTGACATATTGGAAGAGATGCCTATCGAACAACCCAGATGAGGGACACTAAACATTTGTGTCTTTATTTTTTTTTTCCACTCATCAGTTATCAAGGGATTTGTCAAACTGTAAGTTTCTCATGTGACCAAAACGAAAGGGGTCAACGTTAAAGTTAAAGTTGCCCCGGAGCGTCTCCTCTACCCATCAACCGTTCAACAACAAGGGCTCAGAGCTGTAAAACTGGAGCCAATAATGTAACCGTTTACAAAAGGCAAAGCGCTCCGTGTCGAGCATCAGCAGTAAACAATCTACACGATGGACAAAGAGCAATAATAGTGGTGGTCATGGTGGTGATGATGACACATCAAGGAGTGGAAAAGGAAACATATGATATTGTAATACTCACCGATAAATGCTTAAATATACTCAATGTGATATAAATGAACTTATGAAGTTTGCTTTTTTTTTGCGGACAGCCATCTTTGAGAGTAGGTGTTGTTTACTCCTCAGTAACCGACGCCAATATCTCCGTCTGTAAACATGATTTAAAATGTACTGTGCAGCTTAAAACGCTACAACCGCTACTTTTATAGGAATGCAAACGGTAAGTTTAGGTTTTTACTTGGAATTGAACCGTTTTCCCGACAGAGAGGAGGACATGCACGAAGCAAAAACCCCTGTAAAGCCTTCACTTGGTAAGCCACGCCCCCCCCCAAATCGTAACAACGTAAAGCATGAAAAAACAAAACGAAAATTGAACAAAAGAACACAAGGGAAGGCAACTTCATAGAAGTTAGGAGAACAAATGACAAGATAATCCCAATGGGGAGGCCTTTTGTGTGGCTAGACGAGGAGCTCTGAGGAGGGAATTCCCTTAATTACGCTAATTTATCAAGACACAAGAGATGTACACTCTGTCAGCCTAAACATGTGCATTCATCCCGCCCCCCAAAAATAAATGATTTTTGGGCATACTGTAAAAAGATTTCACAGCATAATTAGCTGGGATTGAATGCAGCTCTATGATCGAGCGCAGGCTTTACAACCGAACCACATCAGGTCACACCACAACCCAGAGAAGCACAGAGTAGATTCCCTTATAGAAAACATGTGGAAAGCTCGTTATCAAAAAGACTTGTTGCAATCTTTAAAACAGAATGCTTCAATTAAATATAGAATATACTGCTTTCAAGTATGAAACATACATGATGTGTTCATAAAACGCATTAATAAAATTATACTTCTTGTGGCAGGTGAAGACGTGCATGTGCTGCAAAGGTGATTTGTGAAACACCTCGCATCTCCGTTTTCAGCTGAATACCGGTGGAATATTGTACTGGCGTTTCCCTCCTCAGAACGTCTGCATCCGAGCAAACACGTTTCTTTTTTTTTTTTACGATTCAGGGGTTGAATACCAAGTGACGCACGTCTGCCGTTTCCTACAATACCTTCGTAGATGGTCAGATTGCAGGAGAAGGTCCTCAGAGTGCGTGTGAGTCTGCTCCTCTGTGTCCAGCTGTATGTTTGCTGGTACAGCTGAACCAAAAAGTATTGTTATGGGGGAGGATCGATGAAATGCATGACTGCGTTTTATTCAGATTTCCAACGGAATGGGCCTAACCTTTTTTGGATGAAATTACAATACCACTGTCAACATCACCACCATTTTCTCTTCCTGATACATCTATGGTGAGCCTTGTTTATCTTTAATCCCAGTACAAAAAAAAACAACAAAAAAAGAAGAAAACAAATTAACACACACAAGAAATGTTATCATATGCTCTGGTTTCCAGGCAAGGAAAGTCATTAAAAAAAGCTCATTCACAGAACAAAAAGAAAGAAAATTCATATCACGGCAGATACTGCTCATCTTCTAAATAGAATGGGTGCCTGTGCATGCTTTTCAATTGAGCATCTTGAGTGAGTGAGAGTGTGTGTGTGTGTGTGTGCGTGTGTGTGTGTGTGTGTACTGCCTATGAGCAGGAATGGACGACGCCATTCTTCTGCATGTCTGAACCAGTGGCACCGGGATCAGAGCACAAGCCCAAAGCAGACGTCTTATTGGTCAGTGACAGCATGGACCCGCCCACTGCACTTTCTTGCAGACTGTTGGAGCCGTTGGACACCTCGCTGAATTAAGGACAGAGAGAGAAAGGAACCCAGGTGAGAACAGGGAACACTGGGAGGAGCTCGGGCTAATAAACAAACACACAAATATTCAGGGAATATACACATTTATATATTTAAGTACGCGTTTACCCACCCAAGAGCCAGGGAGATTTCTTCTAGCTGAGTCTTATGCTCTGGTTGTCCATTCTCTGCAGGTTTAATCTTATACTGCTGAACGTCATGGGTCACTTGGTTTTCCTGATTTGTAGATGGATAAAACATGCTCAGTTGCTAGAAAGACACCCAGTTAGATACTGAACCCTAATCAGTCAATATCTTTTAAGACTTAAGCCATGGCCTAGACCAGTAATTCTCAACTGGTGGGTCGCGGGCCCATGCCTGAAAAAAATTAAAAAAATCCTGCGCTATTATTTTGAAGGGGATTTTTTATGCAGTGGAGTGCCATCTATTCACACTCCTTAACAGTATTTGGCATTAATGCCTTGTAATGCTGCCATTTCACAGCATAGAAGAACACCCACAAAGTTTGTTTTTATATGCTAATTGAGCGAAACGCAAGTACGACACCGACTACATGAGATATGGATTTTCTTACATTGAGGACAAAAGAGGGCAAACACCTCTGTGTGTTTTGTGCAGCGAGGTTCTGGCACAAGAAAGCATGAAGCTGTCATTTGAAGCTCTGTCAAATGACACTATAAGTAGACGGATTGAAGACTTGTCAGATGACATCAAACAACAGACCACAGCTCGAATTTAGGCAAGTGGTCATTACAAATGGACGAATCAACAGACATAACAAACAAAGCAGTTTTACTCCTTTACGTGAAACATGTGTGGGACGGGGACTGACAGGAACAATTTCTCTGCACAAGAGAGCTCCCTACACTACTTTCAGCTCAGGTTCAAACTGCACCATCTTTTCATTAAATACATTTGAGAAGTTGAAAATTTTCCTCGATTTGGGGAATTTTCCTCGGCTTGTCATTAAGGGGTGATGGTGGGTCCCACAGCCAGACCAGTTGAGAACCACTGGCCTATACCATTACAACTGTATGGTTTGCAGAATTTGTTGTATGTATATTAGCACTCATCCTGCTGTATGGTGTTAACACCACTTCCACAAAGTTTTGTTTTGAAATCAATAATTTCCACCCAATAACTTCTCTCAGCATACAGAGACTGTTTCATCCCTTGTTTTTACCCTAACAGCTCCCCCCCCCCCCCCTTACCAAAGCCATCTCACGGGTCCTCTTGCCAATCTCTCTCTCCACCTGGCGGAGCTCCAGGCTCAGCTGTTCACTGGAGACAGCTGCTGTACTTGCTCCCACTGCAAGCCACTTGGGCTGCTGTTGAGCTGCTGCTGACTGGCCCTGGCCGGGCTGCCCGGGCTGGCCTGCCAATGCACTGGCCTCCCTCTGCAGCAGTAAAGAGTTACTGGCAGCCTGTGATAGCCAAACAGGAAGTGAAGAGGATGAGTGCGCAATTTGGAAATTTCTGGCAGCAGGAATGCTGCGTGAAATAGAAAAACTGTTTTCTTTTTTGTTCCCGTGTTGACTGTATTTTGGGAGTGACTTGGCAGCTTGACTGCTTTGATTCACTTATCATGATTAAATGATAGCAGGAATATTAATACATAAAATATGAAGTCATGTCCTCTGGAATTTAAAAACAAGACTTATTTCAATATTTCACCATCGTGTAGCAACTGTCTGCTCTTTCCAGACCTTCCTGGGTCTTCCTGTTAGTGAGAGAGCATACACACCTCCATGCTTCGCATCTGGGTCTGCTGGTTGATCTGCTGGTTGACCTGCTGCAGCTCAATATTTAACTGTTCTCTGTCTGGAGTTGCCATAGGCAGACTGTGAGAGTGAAAATACAATAAGAAATGCTTTACAATCATCTTCATAAGCAACAGACATTCACTTTCATGCATGTAGTTCTGATATTTTCTTGAAAAGCCTGATGAGTATCATCATGTGAATATTAAAAAGGTGACAGGAAATCAAACACAGGCCTCACCGCTCACTGAAGTGTCCCTGAGAGGAGGAGGCAGTCTGGTGTGAGAGGTATGAAGCTCCACCCCATCCTCCATGGCTTCCATATGTGTATTCTGCTGTAGGCGAGGTGGAGAAAGAAGTCAGAAATGTTTCCATGCCAAACTGTAATATTTAAAACGCCACAATTATGTGAAATGATCGTGCTGCAGAAGTTCGGTTTAAGAAGCAGGAGTGGACAGTGTGGACGAAACAAGTAAAGCAGTTTATCATTCATTATGTAAAGAATATTCACATGGTACAAATGCATGAAAACCATGAATAAGTTGTTTTATACATGGTTTCTTACCTGGCATGGCCATGTGTTTAGAGCTTGGGTTCTGAGGAGTGGAGGCCATCGCCTGCACAGGGCCTGTGGTCTGGTAGCCCGTCTTTGAGGTGCGGGAGATGGCACCGAAACGTGATACGGTGGGCTGGGGGCCAAATGGGATGATGGGGTCATCGTCTTTCACTTCTGCACCCCTCCGAGGAGCCTCCAGTGATGGATCCCTCAGACCCTTAGCCTCCGCATTCTGGTAGACACGGTGGAAGAGGTGGTAAATGATGAATGGACACTCAAAGGATGAGGTAGGTATAGAGAGGAAAGGTTAGGACATGTTCCTTTCTTATCAAATGCTTACTTTTGATTGGTGCAGGTTAATTACACTTGGTCAAACAACTCAGCAGCTTGCACTAATTGCTATTAGCTTGTTACATTGTTAAACTGCCTTTAAGGTTTTGTGTATCAACACTGAATCTTTCAAGACAGAACCACAACGCATCATTTCCCCTCCCCCAAATACTGACATGGTTGCTACTAACAGAGTTGTCCGTATGAACTCACCATCATGTCCATGGCACCAGGACCCATAACATCTTTGGGTTTGGCATCCTTCGTACCAATGTAGGAGCCAATCATTTCACAAGACCAGGGAGAGTACTGCCCTGTGTACTCCGGCTCTCTGCATTTCCCCATGGTTTTGGAGTTCTCCTCGCCATACTGCAGACACAGAACATACAGAGAGAGCGCCATCACTAACACTTGGCATGTACTTACAGTTGTTGAATCGTACCATAAATGCTTGTGCATGATCTGAGCCAGTCTCAGAGAGGTATGACATTCACACAGTGCTCACCTCTGAAGGGTAGTCGCTGGGAAAGGAGTGTGGAAGAGTGGGCGAGGCAGCAAATGGTGGAGGGGATATGACCTTCCTTTCCTCCAGCTGTGATAACAGCTCCTGCCGGCGTCGGTGCAGGTAGTCGAGGCTGGGCTGTGACCCACTATATGATGGCCCCTAAGACACAAACGGAGAAATATTGCAGTATTTTAGTGTTTTGAAACTAGGCTGGCACCACAAAGAGTTAAAGGCAAATGGCTCAAAATGAAGAACAATCCAAACAAACTCACCCTGACATAAGCCCTTATGGGTGGAGTCTGGGCCCCCGGTGTATAGTAGCCATCTGGAGGGTATCTATCACGGGAACTGGGCTCCTGGTGGTAAAGGGAGTTAGCCTGTCCTGCTGAGGGCGGGGGCATATCCAGAGGAGCGGGACTCATTCTGACCAGGCCATCCCTCTGTGATGGGTAAGGCTGTGGGGGAGGTGGCGGGCCAGCGTAGGTCCCGTGGCGACCTCGGTCGTGGTGCGGAGGGTGAGGGTAAGAGAAAGGTGGACCAGAGTGAGGGGCCTGGTAGGGGCGCTCTGGAGGGCCATAACCAGGGTAGGGGTCCTGGTAAGGGGGTCCTGACTCACTGGGGGGAGGAGGGTTACGCATGTAATCCCGAGGGACATACTGCGGCGGCTGTTGGTAAGGGTACCCTGAGAAATAAAAAGCGGATTATCATTAACACAACACAGAGATTGAATCAGTCACACATACAGAAGCTGATTGTGCATCATTCAGTTTACTCGAGCCCTACCTGTGGGGTACTGAGGGGGCTCATATTGAGACGCAGAAGGTGGCGGGCGGGTGTCATAGCACATCTCAGGGAGCTGTGCCTGGGAGTAGACTGGTGAACCTCTGGCTACCACAGGCATGTGCTTCACCCCAGAGAGGTGGTCCACTGACATCCTTTGGTGGGCCATGGCATGAGGTGGCAGAGCCATACCAGGTTTGCCCAGCCCAGGGTCCATGCTACAAGAATAAATGTCAGATTTAACTAAAAAATAACAGTTGTTAACGGACTTGTTTTTGACTCATTGACTATCAGCCTATGTGCCATAAGGTGCCCGGAGTCTGCTTTCTCCATGGCACGCAGCTGCCCGTTCTTTGGCTGTCAATGAATTAAATATGCTGAGAATGCAATACTCACCCATCAGGTGGTGATCCTGGGGCGCTGGGACTCCCTCCATCCATCTTCATGGGTTTACGCAACAGTTCGTACGGGACTGTGTCAGTGCCGCGGGCAATTAGCTGGGGCATGGAAGGTCCACCGCTACCGTTGGTGAGCGGTGAAGGCTTCCGGGTCACTGCTACGTCAAGAGGAAGACCCTCATCTGGCATGAGCCCTCCTGAGCCAGGGAGGCGAGCTGCCAAACGCTTATTCATTTTACGATACCTGACGGACGTAAAGCGCAGTACAAATTGTGTAAGAAATACTGGATGGCGTGAAAACTGTTTAATTTCAACTGCAATATCTTATTTGAATGCTGAATGTGGATATTTATCACTCACTTCTCCAGTTCTTCCTGAGAATGAGCGAAGGTGCAGCTGGCTCCACGAGGACAGCCTCCCTTCTGCTTCATGTCACGACACATGTATGTCTTGTACTTGCTGTGCTGAGGAGGCTAAAAAGAGACGACAAGTATTGTTAAAACAGGGAAAACATATACAACCTTTGTGTCATTATGGTAAAACCCTTTAAGGGCGCTGTCTAGCACAACAACAAACAGAGCTGAACACTCAATAGTGGTGATATTTAGCATTGCAGTCCGGGCTGAGTGACAGACAAAAAATATTTTCTTTTATATAATACCTCGATATGGATATGTTACAAATGAAAGAAAACAAACAATAGGTGTCTCAGTAAGTGTTACGCCAGCTTGTCATTTCTACAATTGATGAACAATGCTCCTATGGATATAACGGGTTAATTAATCAATATACAGGGTCTGGGGCCCAGCTCTTTTTGTGGTCCAATGGGTAGACTCACCTGTTGAGGGTCAGCCCCTTTCTTGCTGTGGTTCTGGATGAAGTCCACCAGACCATGCACCACTGTTTTCACTGCTACCAGCCCTTTCTCTAGCTGCTCCCATGTGGGAGGAGGAGCATCTGTGGAAACAGAACACGAGAAACACAGACTTTAATCTCAATACTTTAATTGATGGCAATTGGTAGACTCATAAGACATAAATACCCCCACCCCCCCCAAATAAGTCGAATAAATGCTAAACAATCTTAGTTAAACTTTAATGGGACAGCTGGACTCTGGCCAAAACATATTATGACTTGGGGTGTTACAATATGTGTATTGGTATTGAACCGGTACGTTCGGTAGGCGGCATTCTTTCGGTAGGCCTCATGACCCCAACAGCTGTGTATGCAGACTACTTGCACATGCGGAAAGAAATTCTGGAGCGCAAGTTTAACCCAGTTGCTGTCAGCTGCATCGGTGTCATAGAATGAAAGCTGGGTTAATCAAACTCAAACTGTATGCAGACAGTTACACTGAAGTCTGGTACATCTGTGAATAGACTTCATTCATTTAATCCTCACGTCACTGTAAAACCAGGATTGTTGAAGCGTGCTCGGTTCTTACCGGGACTTGGATCAATGTTGGCCAGTAGTTCCAGGTGTGGCCGCAGCCTGTTCAGGTTGGCTGGGTCTCCGGTCCTCTGCAATGCAATCGTCAGCTCCTGGACACTCTGAGCAAAAGACGCCGGGGTCTGCAGCTATGTCGAGAGCAGAAAAACAAAAACATGGAAGTTAATGCTTTGGTAGGTCTATGGCAAGACAAGATTTCTATAGTAGGAACATGTTTTAATATAAAGAGTGTAGAAACTGCATCATTTATAGCATTGCATCACATAAATAATCTATGAAATATGCCTTTATGGAAACAAAAAAAAAATAAAAAAATCAGATCCACGCACATTTACTTCTCTCACATACCTTATCGATGATAGACTGCATGTGTGACTTGTGAGATTGATCTCCATATAACAGAGAAGACCACTGGTCGGGTGCGATGCGCAGCCCGCCCTCCATGGCTATCTGAACTATCTGAGAGTCGTGCTCGCGCCGCAGAGCCTCGTAAGTACGGAATTCCTCTTTCAGCTGCATCAGGGATGAATCTTCATCACGTTTGGTCACCTAAGGAGCCACAAAGAAGAAGAAAAGAGTGAATAGAATATTTGGGTTAGTTTTTAGTTGTTGTTTTTAACTGTCCCAAAGATCATTTCATCCACTCTAAAGTCTGTGTAATCCATCAAAAATGTTTGTTATACTTTTACTATGCGAGTCATTTATAGTGTTTTCCCTTCATAAATAGATGCAATTCAAATGATTAGGAAATAAAGATTGTATTTTTATTGATTAATACAAATCTCGTCATTAGTAGTATTAATGAAGTATAAGCTGCTTAGAGGGTAGTGTATATAGTCATAATTAATTTCTAATATCTATTTATGTTGTTTTGAAAACGTCTCCTTCAAACAACTAGATGTATTAAAGTTTTTCAGCAACACTACATTTTCCGAGATCACATGTGAACACATGATAACGTTCTCATTTTCACTGAACAGAGCCTGAACGCATCATAATGTAACTGAAGGGAACATTCGTTCGTTGGCCTTTAGCGATGCTAGCATTTAAAGTTTCGCCCAAAATCAACCATTTACTCTCACCAGATCCTGTAAAATAAACATTAAATCCTGCGCTCCTCAGCGCAACTAGGAAGCCATGATTGATTCGGCTGAGACCAACAGTCAGTGACAAAAATTCGGTGAAACAACTGAACTGCTGAACACAGTGCACTGAGGAGAGGACAGGAGCGACTGAAAGAAAAGAAAATGTGAATAGCTCAACATATCTATATAGCACAAGAAGCCTCTATTTTTCTCCAACACTTGTGGCAACTTGTGTTGGACTTATAGTTTCCATTGTTTGCCAATTTTTGTTTAATAAATTATCCAAAAAATTCAACTTACGCTTTTTTGCTTTTTTATGATTTATGGCATTGTATTATACATTGTGTTATACTGCCCAAAATATATTTTTAGTCGTACAACTATTAGGTCAGGCAGTCGTGTTGTGGAGCGGCACCACATGGTGTACACTATTTGCCACGAGACTTCAAAAAAAAAAAAAAAAAACGTATGAAGTTTTATTCTGGTTCTCAGTCAGTGACGTACCTTGAAGCAGGAGGCCCTGTAGAGGAGCTGCACCACATGGCCGATGCTCGTCTTAGAGGCCTGCGGGAAGCGTGGCTCAAGCCTCTGAACTACAAAGAGAACCAACACCTTCCTGGACAGTGCAGAGCCGTCCTCCAGAGCAAGAAGGACCAACTTTAGAGCTTCCTCCTGCATGGCTGGGAAAAGAACAACATAAAAAAACACATGAGTAAAAAGGGGGATTGCCAAAAGCCAACATTTACAGAGGATCGTTGTACTGCTTCTTCTCAAAAGCGGACATGTGCTGGTTTAATTTTGCAGGTCATGTAAAACCACCTACCCGGGCCTAGAAACTGACATCCTCGTGCACGCACAGCGGCCCACAGGTTGGAGGAGAGCTGCTGTGGATTCTGGTGCTGCAGGATGAGTTCGGTGACGGTTCGCTCACCCAGAGAGCGGGCGGCTCTCATGGCTCTGACACGGCCCTCCTCTTCCACCAGCTGGCAGTGGACCAGGGTTACCAGTTTCCTCTGCATGGGTCGACTCAGCATGCTCTGGGCCGTGCTGCTCAGGCCCACACCTGGTGAGAGATTAGACAGGAACACTGGTAAACCACGGGAATATGAACTCAGACACATTATACACTCATTTGCCAGTTAATCAGGTACAGCTATCTTAACATAATCCAGTCTAATAAAACACTGCTGCAACAAATCTTACCTTCATAAAAGGTTATAATTTTCCATTCTTATTCAAACTGTTTTAGAGAGCTGCTGAGTCTACTTCATGATCATTTGGAACGATGTAGTTGCACCTCAACATCGAAAGAGTTTACCGTGGTTACTTCCCATTTTACAATTCCTCCTTTGCACTAACATCTCTTGTCTCTTAACATGGCCAATGATTGTTTGGCCATTGAGCCATAAATGATGAATCAATAAAAAAAAAAAAACAACTATGACCTTCGAATATTATGGTCCTGACAATCAGTTGTGGCGACACTGGCAACACCATATATGGAATACCCTTTTGAACCCCCCATATCATTTCAGTTTAAAATAAGGTCCGTGGTCCTGACATAAACAATGAATGGCATACTTCATCACAGTGTCATATAAGCAGCATCAGAATATCACTCATTGAAAGGACGTCCTCACATTTTCTTAAATACAGATGGTTTTGAGTATAATTTGTTGTTTTTGAAACAGGCAATGATTTGTTTTTGTCCAATCTGGCTCCTTTATGTAATTATTATCACTTCTACAGCCATCAACCAGAGATATATCTCTGTACTATTTATTAGAAAAGTAGTTCTGCTTTTCTATTTTGAATGACTTTCGATGATCAACAGAAAACTGGCAATACGTCAGTGGATAACAAAGTCAAAACATTTGAATTGTCTATTTCACGACACAGTGATGTCATATGCACGACTTTGTAAGTGAAAATGTTCAGACAAGTACAAGTTCAACAGTTATAACATGTGATCATGTTTTTTTTTAAATGTTAGTCTCTTTCATGCAAAAATAACCTCAGGCACTATTTTTGAGAAGGGTTTAAAAAACACTTGAACGTCAATAACATTGAGTCCTAGACTCCCCATGCTGACAACAACCTACAGAGTTTAATTTAAAGGCAACAAGAGTGTCAACAGATCAGAATAAAGGCAGCACAGATGAAAAGTAAAGTGTGTTTTTGTGTACCTCTGGTGTTGCTGAGAGGTTTGAGGTAGAGGGCCAGCTCCTCCACACACTGCCTGGCCTCCTCATAATGCTGCGAGTCCTCTGGACTGGTAATCAAGGCAACTGGCTGAGCCTTAGGAACCTTCAGCAGGACACCAAGGGGGAAACAATTAGAAGAACATTGTTTAGTACAGTATTTGTATTTAGCCAAAACATCAGACTGTGCGAAGTAATAATCAAAACACCTCTCTGTATGTACATGCAAAATAGATTTAAGATGAAAAGTGACAAATTGAAATGGTATGGCAAATTGTAAACCGTGTACAGGAATGTTGTTTAAGCTGCAATTATCTACAAACTGTTTAATAAAGGCCATCTTTAATTTATACAGATCTGTCAAGTACAATGAAACCTGTGACGTTACTGGAGTATGCTCCACTAATTATTCAGTTTGCCAAATCATTACTTACTCTATGATCAAAGCAACAGAATATGACTGACAAGAAACTTCATATTTCACATTTTAAGAATCCCTGCATTGTACTGACGGCGTATGCCCCATTCTCTGTAGGTCATGGTTTGTTGAACTGCACTTATCCCAGATTAAAATGCTAATATGCCAATATTTAAAATAAGACAGTGGGGGAAGCATTTCTTGTCAAGTTTGTATTTGCATGCTTAGGCTGTTTGTAAAAGGCAATCCAATGAATCTAATGCAACCCAATGAAATACTGACCACAACAACCTGCAGCTCTGGGGCATTATGATAAATTAGGTAATTTTCATGAATGAAAATGAAACAGAACCATTATAATAACTTCCATTTCTATCAGGGCATATTCATTTGACGGGACATTGTACCCGGCTAATCTGTAGTAGCACAAATATGCAAGGCACTCAGCTACGAGACAAGACATCACAGTCATGACTATATCAGACACACAACACACTCATTATTGATGCACTGACGTTATCCATTTTCATACATACCTGGAAACTTGGCAAAGGCAAAACACCCATTAGCTGTAGCCTCGCCCTATTGGCCAAAAGCCGCTTACGAGAAATATAGCTTCACCGATGATGCCAGCGCTCAGTAAACCAACAGAGTTAAAGTCATTGCACAATGACTGGAGCGTGACTAATAAAGGAATCTCCAAGCTATGTGCATCATGCAATAGCCTGTGAGTAAAACTCTAATAAAATCCAGAAACAGTAATTTAAGGAAACACCATACGGTCAAGATAGGAGTGGTATTTTAAACCAACTACTCAAATACATCAATGAGCTGACAAGCTAGCACCAACAAGGGCTCTGCATAAATCTAGTCAACACAAGATCTTTGTCATAAGTTGCTGAACAAATGTACAAACGCACACGATGATTCTTACCTGGCCTCCCACCAGCTGTAACAGGGCACTGTTGACAGGTAGCTGCTCGATGTCTGTGCTGATGGCTGTCTGGTCAAAGGGACAGGCCTTACGGTGCAACTTGTTCAGGCACATCTTGCAGACGGTGTGTCCACAGCCCAAGCTGATGGGCCGGCGAACACTCTCCTCAAATGTCTGTGTGCAGATCGGGCACAGCAGGAACTCTGTCCATTGTGGGGCTTGCACTGGCATGGTTGTATGTTGATCGGACGAGTGTGTGTGTAAATGTATGTAAGCTTTAACACAGAGAAAAAAAATCTAATAATAATATATATATATATATATATGGAAGATTCCACTGGAATCAAGAATTTGTCTTCCGAACTCAATTGTTCTTAAATGTCCTCACACATTGTGGATTTTGGATCACATCTCGTGATGATTACTGTAAAAGAGAGAGACAAAGAATTAAAAGTCTGCACACATTTAAGAATTAAAACAACTTTGCATACTTTTCAAAATGTAGTTTACCAATGCTTTAACAAAGTCCATTAACAAAACATGGTTGTGCTGTGTATAAGTGGACTACCGATACATTACTACATAAAAAAAAAATTAAAAAACTATAATCGAATGTCTGTTTTGCTTTGATTACTCAACGCTATGCGGTGTTCAGTCGTTACACAAAACATGTACAAAAAATAAAAGAGGTGACACAGCACATATTTATAAGATACCCATGAAACAAGCGAGCAGAAGGACCAAAACAAGTGCTATGTGGCCTACTCAGAGGAGCTGGTAACCACTATGACTGTGGACAAAGGGTCCTGGAGAGGCTAACAACCAAGTCCTCCTGCGCTATCCAACTTGTTATGAGGCTAATGTTTGCTAATAGAGTTTGGAAACATTATGATACGAATCGGTTTTTTAGTCAATGATTTTCCTATCGGGACTGTTCCAATTTTGTTATGTTTGATTTTACACGAATTATTGTTATAACTGAAATGTGGCAATACGTTAGCTAGCTAATTGTAGATAACGTTAGCGTTAGCTTACTGTTAGCCGGCTACGCTATGGGTGGCTAGTTTGCTAGGTTTGGCTAGCTGGGAAACGTCGTCCTGATAGAAAAATAAATATGTATAAATATAAATAAAATATATCATGGGTTGGTCATGATACAGTTATTGGGAATGTAGCTTTGGTTATGAATCCATTACATTACACAACCTAGATAATTAACGTGAGTTAGCATCTCGCGTTTTGCTGAAGGAAACGATAGCTAGAGAAGATCCACAGTGACACTGGAGAGGGGAGCCATTTGAAATGCAACAGCGAGATTATGTAACGCTAGCATCCGAAACTACCCAGCAACACAACTGCCTTGAACATGTATTTAATTTCACCAGCCACACAAATTTACTAGAGTTCAGGATCATACTAGGATTGTGTTTTAATTTGGAGAAGCGGCTAACATTGACGCACATACTCGTCTCATACTCGACTGAGCACAGGAGGCTAACAGTGAACAAACCACACTCCTCCCTCTTGTAGCAGTTAGCTTGTTAGCTAGCTCCCAGTTGTGTTAGCCACAACTAACGCTAACTATAGCTATGCGTCATAAATGTGACTAAAACCAAACATGCAGCTTCTACCGTGATATTCCGTCAGGAAAATGGTTAATTAATGTCGATCCTACTCACTCATTCCAAAAGACTTGGAAGATTTTCATCTTTCTTTAGGAAATTGTTGCGATATTTTCTTGCCATGTCGACTGTGCAGCTTAGCTGCTGCCGAGGTTTGGGGAGGGTGTCAACTCGACAACAGACTCGCTAGCCGGTTACAGCTAGCTGGGCAAGATGTGTGTATGTGCGCGTGTGCTTGCTTGCGCGTGTCTGTGTGTATGTGCTCATGGCCCCCTCTGCTGGCACTGGGCCGCATGCGCAGCCACAACACAAAAATGAGCAGCATTTGCCAGAGTCCAGTCACATCTGGGGAGGATTTTGTGGCAACTGGCAAGTAGAACGTTGTCCCAATTAGGCTAACTGTGCACGAGCGCATATGTGTGCGTGCACACGCGTCAATGAAACGGACAGAGAGAGCTGGGATAAACCGTGATAGCGGGAAGGATCAGCTGTATTGACAAAAAAAGGAAAAGAATCAACCTTCGGTTCTTTGAAAGATACAAAATTACGCTATACAACACATCAGCCTTTATCACTTTATCAGGACCATCGAAATATTCTAGGAATGACAATGTGTTTATCTCAGACATTTTAGTCGTATTTTTTATTATTATTTTCATTGGTTTATTGCTGTGCGCATTGAGTCAGTACCAGTGCACTCCTCTTACGCAACAGAGAGCTTCACTCGGCAATGGGTTCGCGAGGAAAGGACTAAATTAGATAAGGCATTTTTGTATTTCATTTTTGCCTAATCCTACTGATTTCTGAAGGGATTACAGGACCAATCATGATTGAGAGGCTGCTTGCTCGCCTGACACTGCCCGGACCGGGAACAGTGTAGACAGAGAGTGGGAGCGCGCCACCAGGATCTGGAGAAACATTGAGAGATGGTATTTTGTTTTCATCTTTTGGGGGATCCGGACATGAAAGTTGTTTCGTCTTCTCGCTAATGTTGGTGACCGACTTGAAGATGCGCGTTTGGCGCAGGTTTTTAGAACGGATTGTAACTTACATTTGTGCAGTTGCACCAGAATTGATGGTAACTTTCAACGCTGGAACTAAGTTTGTATTAAAGGACACAATCTTCAGTCAATATCCCGGTACACTATTCACTGTGTGTGTTAGTCTACTGTATTTATGTGACTACATCTGGCTTCAGAGAATGTGTTTCGAAGCTATACTTTGTTCATCATTTAAATGATATTTGTGAAATTGGCCAGGTGTTATTCATATGATCTACATGACACAGAATCTTTAAATAAGTCAATTTGTTAGGGTTGAATAATTCATACTTTTTTTTCCCTCTGCTTTTTTATTGACTAGGTGACTGCATTACAGTGAACGTTTTGTTTCATTGCATATTGTTGCTTTTACTCGACAACAAACATTCATAATGTTGTGCACGGGGCTAAGTTGCAGGCAGCAGTTGCTTATTCTCATTCTAAAGGATTATCCTGTGCACTGCAAAGTAATCAGTGGATAAGTCAACGTGACTGAATCCACATTACATATCCCCTCACCAGGCACATCAGATAGAATGTAGCCGGTAACAGAGATGTAGAACAGATGTAGTTTTTGTCCACATGCCTGTATTATTTTTTTTAAAGCCTCTTTTTTATTATCTATAGGATCTGTCTGGACTTTTCGGTGCATGACCGGCCAATGGAGGAAGAAAAGGCGGTTGATAATATCCAACTAAAATCCAGTTCCCCTTTACCTACTGGGATTCCCATTAACTGGGGACTCATCACTGGCCCTGTCCCTGAGCCGGTGTTCCCAGCACCTTCTTTGAGCACCCAACTTCCTCCTCCTCAGAGTTCGGCTGTTCACGCCCTACAAACCAAAGTGAAGTCACTCACACAGAGAAGGACAAGGGGGAGAGATCGAGAGAAAGAAAGAGAAAGGTTGGACACAGATGTTTTCGTGAGCAGTCCAGCTGGGCGGATTTCATCCGAAGTCCTTCTCAGACAGAGGCCCAGAGGAAAGGGTCAGGTGTCTTTGCCTGCCCCCTCCTGGCGATCAGGCACTTTGAAGAACTTGAGCAGTAGTGATGAAGAGGAGGAGGTTGAGGTGCAAGTCAGTTTCGAGATCCACAGCCCTCCGGCTGAAGCACGAGGAGATCATGTCTTCCAGGAGGAAGAGGAAACCGAAGACGAGAGGTCAGAGAGGAATGAGGACCAGGTCAGTTTTCTGTCAGGCCAGCCTTGTGGGCTTGGGGAGGGCACCAGTCTAGAGAGTCTTCTGTCTGATAACTCAAGCAGCAGTAAGGATGACCCATCTTCTCCTCCTCCTCTTCATCCTCCTCCTCTACCTGTGCTCTCCTCATTTCCTGCCACCACCTCTGCTTCTACAACAGCTTCCACTTCTTCTTCCACATCTTCCATGTCAACCAGACACTGGGCACCACCCAAGGGCTTCTGGAGAGTAGTGCGCCCTGAAACATTGCTTCTAAATGGTGTTAGCCCAGACAACACACCCTCCGCTTTACCTTTGAAGGACCATACTTGGACAGAAGAACCGACAGAGCCTCAAAGGTGTTCTAAGCCAGCCAAAACAGGCACCAGGAGCGATGCCGGAGGTGTGGTGGATGACAGCGACGCATCCTCAGAGTTCAAACACTCGGACAGTGTGGAGTGCTACCTGGACAGGTGTGAGCAGAAGGAGTTAGAAGCTGGTGACCTGGCCAAAGGACTGTGCAGTTCAGACAGCTCGGAGAGCATGTCTTCACAAAGTGGGCTACTCTCCGCTGACGAGGAATTGAAGGTGAAGCGGAGAGCTTATGTGAAGTTAAGGGAAAGAAGCCAAAACTGCATGGAGGAGAGCGAGCAGAGCGGAGGGGAAAGTGCCGGCTGTTACGGAGACACAACATACAGAGGCAATTGTAAAGGTAGGTCTCTTGAGGAAAATAGGATGTATTTCATGTCAAATGCAAAAACTTTCTAGAGAAAAATTGATACCGGTATGTTGATATATACTTATACAAGTGGCTCAGTCATAGTTTCTTGTCCACTGTAGTTGTGTAGTGTGTGCTAAGTATTGTCAGCTGGTGCGGGGGTCTGTTGCTTGCTATTTATTACGAGTGGAGACAGAAAATTCCGCTCAATGCTTCAGAAATAGCATTCCCCCGCCCCCCCCCATCCAGACCTACACAACTACAAACCACAACAATTTATA